GTTGTATAAATTTAAATTACGTTATAGAACATCATATCGTACCATAAATGGAGAATCCCATGATTTTCTCAGTCGAATTATTTGAAGATTCAGGAGTTTATCCAGTATTGTATGTGAATGTCACCTAAAGGCGCTTTTTTTTTTTTCCCCTCCTGATGAAACAGCGGCCGAGCGGTAAAGTCGCTGAACTCTGGTAGTTCGGTCCGAGGTTCAAATCCCGCGAACGGGCTGGCTGCATGGGCGTTTTCGTGGTTTTTCCCCATGTGTAACGTGTATGCGAGCCAGTTTTCCTTAGAAAGTCCTCCACGAAGGCATCCCTCCCCTTAGGCAGATAGCCCTAGTGTGCTTTGTCATAATTAAATAAACCAAAACCTCTTGATGAAACCAGTCTTTTCTTTCATCTCATACCTTCAAAATGTTTAGCCTCTAAAGACTGATAAAGGCTCTGACCAAATATTGATGAAATGGATTGAATTGGATTATTAAGTTACGTCAAAGCAGGGTTATCTGCCTAAAAGGAAGGATGCCTTTGTGAAGAACTTTCAAAGGAAAACCAGCTGGCATACACGGTACACATGAGAAAATCCACGAAAACACCCATGCAACCAGCCCGTTTACCGGGATTCGAACCCCGGAGTGAACTACCAGTGTTCAGCGACTTTACCGCTCGGCCGTTTGTGGGCCTTTATGAAATGGAAGGCGATAACTTTATTTAAAATGATTGTCAGAAATATCAAGATATTTCGAAAAGTTGGATGTTTTTTAATATACTTGCGGAATGCCTAAAGAAAAAGAGCAAGAATAAAGTAGAATGCCTGAAGAAAAAGAGAAGAAAAAATAAATTTTTGGGTAAAATTTAGTATTTGTATTTTTTTTTTAAATTTAAAACTTTTTAATCTTATGATATTTGATTCTTACGATTTCAAAAATAAAATATTTGACTAAAATATGAATAACATTTAAGAAACCAAATGTAGGATAAAATTGTGTAAAGCAATGGGCACAATGATAAAACTGTTTAAAGCAGTGTATGCAAGTCATCCTAAGTTAAAATGTCGGTTATACATCTCTCTTATTTATATATATATCTTTCTGAACGGAACATTGAAAGGCGTGTTAACTATGCTTTACTGTATTTGCTCTTTTAATATATGCAGTTTTTCAAACGCATCGTAATCTGGGTTACAAAGTATTCCTCCGAAAGAAACGCAATTCAAATAAATAAAATCAAATTCTGGAAAATTTATTTAAAATGCTCAGTTCGAAGGAATAAATAGAAAATTTTAAAACAATTATCTGAAGAGACAATGCAAACACAAACAATTAAAATAAAAGTATAAGAATTTAAAAATTACCTAAAATAATAACTATGACAAAAAATATATATAAAGAAAACTATTTGAAAAAAAATAAACGCTGCACCTTTATTTACGCAGTTCGAATAGGTAAATAGAAATTTTTAAAACAGTTATTCGAAAAAAACCATGCAACTTAAACAATTAAAATGAAATTCGAAAAAGAAAAAATTACTTAAAATAATAAGTTATAATTAAAAATACAATATAAAGAATATTATTTGGAAAAAAGGAACGATGGTGACTTTTTTTTCCTCTCACGGGAAAGGAAACTAGGTTGCCATATATTAAGAAGTTTCGCCAAGTGAACTATTCTTGGCGACAACAAAATAGTGCCAACATAAATTTGTGAATTTCTCCGTAAATTTTTGCTCCAAATTTTACAAAATTTCATATTTAGGTGTAATTTGAGTCGTAGAATCGAAATATGTAAAAAAATTGGTATGTTATTTCAGAAAAAAGTCCGATTTTGTGTCAAAATACCTATATATATCCTAAGTCGCGCTTTCGAGACATGAAGAACGCAGTTTGAATTTTGTCAATCGGCCCAGTAGATCGGGAGATATAGGACTGTCTTTTTCTTTTTTTTTTTTTTTTTTTTTTTTTTTTTTTGAGCAGTGTACCAGGTTCACTTAAGAACGGCTTTTTTAAACTTTCCTTTTTCAACAGAATAGACATCACTGACAGGTTCAAGTCATGAAATACTGAGAGTTGTACCCAGTGTTAATTCACCATGATAGTCTATTTGACTGGCTATAAGGGAGCTTATGTGTTTTTTCTCATGTATAATCACGGTTCGTATTCGTACACATTTCTGCACACAGAAATTAAGTACTTTTATGGACCATTAATGAAAAAAATTAAGGACCTAGTAACAAATGGGAACTAAATAAATTCAATTAAAAATATTATTCCATGCCTGAATTTCACTTTTGTAATATCATCCTAAAAATAACATGGATCCCTTAGTATGCATTATTATTTAACATAATTATTAATACATGAATTATTTAACATAATTATTAATATGTTAGAGAATAAAATAAACTTTATCCAATTTACCAAGTAGCATTAAATATTTTACACTTATAATAGTTGGACATATTTGAAAGAAGATAAGTGACATTTACATTTAACTAATAGTTACCTTTATGTCTCATTTTGTCACATACTTGGTCAGTCTAGAAGTTTAGTAAATAGCAGGTATTAGATTTTCAAGTGGCATAGATTAAAATGAGAAGTAAGATCATAATCAGCATGATTCATAACAAAAGACTGAATGTTGTCACTGCTGCTGATTGTTCACAGAGAGACATGCTGATTTGAACAAACCTGAAAGGCTAATGTAGGCACGGTTGGCAAGTGCTGAAACTTAGTCGAGCTCTGTCTGATGCAGTTAGTATCATAGCTTTCTGTAGAGTTCCAGGGGTTGTAACCCAGTTTTTACATTTTTGTGTTTTATCTTGTGACCACAGTGAGTATTAATGAAAGGCAATAACTCTCTTTAATATGTAGAGATAATTTTTAAGGGTAAGCGGTTAGTTATAAATAATTAAATTAGGTAAATAGGTAACCTTAGTCATTATGGATTTACATGGCCACTATTAAATTTTATTTTTTAACAATATTTGTTAAAAAAAGCCCTATTAAAATCACAATCTAACAGAATTTCACAGTTTAAAATACATGTTATTTATGACACTGATTCTTTAACAATATTAGGATAATTACACATTAAAAGCTAAAAAACATTTATGTTTTGTAACAACAACACTCAACAAAATATTCATCCGTCATTTTAATTAAGCCTTCCCTAACATTTTGGCTAGTTTATATTGATTTCCTTCTCTTTAAGTATCTTTCCTAATAATTCGAGATTTGTCTCAATATGCAAGCCAGTGCTCTCGCTAGTTTCTGCATGCTTTATCTCCTAACTTATCAACCTCTCCACAATGTATCTATGAGGGTTTACTTGTTCTGGTAAAAGTTAAATAATCCCAAACCCCAGACAGATGTGAAGCAAATTATCCCTATGTCTAAAAAGTAACTATAATATCAGACAAAGGTTTAAATAAGCCTCTTATTTAAAACGAACTTAACATAAAGGCATGGTCTGATGCTAACAAAATTATTACAGCTCACGGTGCCATAATTAAACAAAATCAGTTAAATTCAAACTAAAAATGTGAACTAGTGGTCATATAATTTAATTTTAATTTAATCTAGCTCGGTAACTCTATCATATGAGGAAATAGAAATGGGAAACTACAGTAAAGGCTGAAATCATAAACAATTAGGTAATTTACATAATAATAACTGCACATATCTTTGAAAAATAATTTTCTTTATATATTCAGTTTCTTTTTTCAGCATTCCTTTTCATTTTAGAATTTTTGGATTTAATTATGGATTTCTGTTATTCTAAAAAACACTAAATTTTCAGATCTCAGAATTAAAAATGTTCTATAGAAACTGATCTTAAAATCGCCAAATTTAGAACCGTTTAATAAAAAAATTCACATCCCCAAAAGTGAAAACTGGTTTAAGAGCTCTTTATTAGAAAAAAATGAATTTCGAAATACTTATGTTTCACTTCTTGCTTTAGAAACTTGAATATCCCATCATTTATTTAGAATAGAAACAAATTATAACCCATGAAGCCATTCAAAAGATAACCATTATGTCGTGAATCGCCAAAAAATATTCTCCAAAATGCTAATTCACACTCAAAATGGCAGTCGTAAAAACAGACAGAAATTTCAGATGATTAAAATTAAGGACCTTCTGCTGATTTAGCCAAAATTAAGGATTTTTAAGGACCAAAAATCGATTCCAAAAAATTTAAGGACTCTTAAGGACCGTACGAACCCTGGTAATGTATACACTTAACAGTTTCCTTAAATCTTCAATAAAAGCATATTTACCTTAGCAAGAGCCCTGAAACACTTTGCATGATTAAATAAATTAGCCATATTCCTGTTATATTATTTGTGATTAAATTACGCAGTAAAGAATATTAATTTTCTTCTGAAATTCTGAAGCTAATGAACCATTTCAGCAACTTATGCAAAACTAATATTATGGCAAAAGCAGATCAGGGAAATTTCCCTAAAGGGAACGATGTCTTTGTGGAGAACTTTCTAAGTGAAACTGGCTTGTATTCACAATACACATGATGAGGGGGGAGAAATGGTTCATCCAGATTTAAAATTGGGTCAAACTATGATTATTCAGTGGTCTTAAATACTTGAATCACTGGTGAGACCTATAGCTCTCAATAAACAGCAGCTATTCTTTAACAATACATATAGCTTACATTATAGCTGTCTAATAGCTTGCACATTATGCCTGATTATGACACATTTGTACTTGTATTTATTCATAAACTTCCTACTCAAACTATTATTGCATATTTTAAGAATGTTAAATAAAAATTACAAAAAAAGAGGCAGGGCCTTTTCTAAAGATTCTAGAAGAACCAGAACAAATATTTAATATTGATAAAATTTTTCAAAAACAAACTTTAAAAAAAGAGAAATTTATATAAAACAATATTTTACATTAAAAAGAGATTTTACTCCAGGAAAAGAAATATCATTCTCATAAAAGAAAAGAAACAAAATACATATTATTTATACAACATACCTGATAATGTTCGAGAGCCTATCCACCATATCAGATAACCAAAGTATGGAATCCATGGGAGTGTTTTCTAATAATGAAAGAGATTGATACAATTAATAACATAGTTAAATGTTAGTGTTCAATTTTACAATAATTCGTAAAATGTTGCTCATAGTTTCAGAGTGATGAAATAATGTTTTAATTACATATTAAATAAGGAATGCATGAAAAATATTTCCCGATTGAGTTTTAACAGCCATTAAAGCATTTAATATACATATTTGTTCTAAGGGTTTGTCCTTGATTTCCAGAACGAAAGCTTTTATTGTAGCTCCAAATTACTTTTAATGCAAGGAGATCCAAAAGTAGCCCTACAACTGCTGAAAATTTTGCAAGCAATATGAGGCAAATTTCACAATTTCTTTCCCAAAATACACATTCAAAAACAACAACAGCAAAAATATATATAAGCATCTTTCCTAATAATTCGAGATTTGTCTCAATATGCAAACTAGTGCTCTCGCTAGTTTCTGCATGCTTTATCTCCTAACTTATCAACCTCTCCAAAATGTATCTATGAGGGTTTACTTGTTCTGGTAAAAGTTAAATAGTCCCAAACCCCACACAGACGTGAAGCAAATTATCCCTATGTCTAAAAAGTAACTACAATATCAGACAAAGGTTTAAATAAGCCTCTTATTTAAAACGAACTTAACATAAAGGCATGGTCTGATGCTAACAAAATTATTACAGCTCACGGTGCCATAATTAAACAAAATCAGTTAAATTCAAACTAAAAATGTGAACTAGTGGTCATATAATTTAATTTTAATTTAATCTGGCTCAGTAACTCTTATCATATGAGGAAATAGAAATGGAAAATTATAGTAAAGGCTGAAATCATAAACAATTAGGTAATTTACATAATAATAATAACTGCACATATCTTTGATGAAAAATTTTCTTTATATATTGTTTCTTTCTTCAGCATTCCTTTTCATTTTAGAATTTTTGGATTTAATTATGGATTTCTGTTATTCTAAAAAACACTAAATTTTCAGATCTCAGAATTAAAAATGTTTTATAGAAACTGATCTTAAAATCGCCAATATGTTGACAAGTCGCCAAATTTAGAACCGTTTAATAAAAAAATTCACATCCCCAAAAGTGAAAACTGGTTTAAGAGCTCTTTATTAGGGAAAAAAAATGAATTTCGAAATACTTATGTTTCACTTCTTGCTTTAGAAACTTGAGTATCCCATCATTTATATTAGAAATAGAAACAAATTATAACCCATGAAGCCATTCAAAAGATGAAAAAAAGTTGAATATTTGATGAAAAAATCTGCACAACAACTGCAAACTCTTATTTAGTTCAGAATCAATCACTGACATTCATTGTCATGGATTTCATCACTCTGATCTAGATCTTTTCAGTCTTTTTATATTATAGCATACTCATAGGAGAAAGGATTTCTGTAAATGTCCCACATTCATGCTTTATTCTTCTAGAGCAGTGGTCTTGAAACTTTGTTGAATCCAAGTTTTTTTCAGGAAAATTCACCTTCAATTACTGCATAATTTCAGAGTGATATACAAAGACTATACACGTAGACCAGTGGTCACAACCCTTAGAACTATACTTTTTTTTTTTTTTTTTTTCAGGGAACCCCATCCCATCTTTAGAAAAATATATCGTAGAACAATATTTAAAGTAGATCAATATGTTATATGTACTTTATATACAGAAAATTAAGCAAAAGTACTATATTTTTTGTTAAAAAATGTTAACTAAAAATTAATGCAATTTGCCCATTAATAGGAATAATATGTGCCCCAAGTGTCACCTACTCTCACATTATATTTAATGACAGGGGTGTGCACGCATTTTTTTTTTTAAACAAACTGTTGAAGTATACTTCTATTGATGTTATCTGCAGTCGTGTTTTATATTCTGCCATTAATTTCTTTATATATTTTGTTTTTGTTGCAACATACACTGTGTATTTTTCACTTAAATGCATTATTCCAAATGGCATTAAAATGTTTAAAGCCTCTAGATAATCTGCACGAATCTACAACCAAAAATCTCTTAGACATATGATGACCACGTTTCAAGTTCTAAAACTAATCTATAACTAAATGTATCTTTATATTTTTCAGTTATTAAACACTAGACAACTAGAGTGAGCACTTTAGAATTTTCTTTTTGAATTATTATTTTGATTCACTGAACCCCAGGTTTTGAGTTGCAGAATCCCAATCTGTGGAATACAGTTTGAAGACCACTGTTCTAGAAGTATCTAAAAATGTTCATGAAATTTAGAAAAGTTTGCCAAATTTTCAAGATTTGATTGCTTCCAGATCTACCAGAATTATTTACAAGTTGTAAATGGTTATATACATAAAACTGCTAGAATTAAAACATAGTAAACTTGATACTCTCCCATTCATAACATCACTTTCAAAAGACTTTGCTTTCAAAGACTGCTAGAATTAAAACATAGTAAACTTGATACTCTCCCATTCATAACATCACTTTCAAAAGACTTTGCTGTTAAACTGTAAATTGTTATTAAATGTTTTTGCCATTCCAAACAGAAAGTTGTCAAAAACTACTCTGAAGATTTCCAATACAGTGAAAGTTATATGATTACTAAGTAAAAATGAAACAGCTTATATCAAACACAGAAAAAATCAGTGATTTCTAGAATATTTTTCTCATAACATTATTTCATACTGAAATACCGAAATTTATCGAATACAGGTTTCGGCATTCTGACGATGCTTTTTTAGATGTAAAAAAGTACTGCAATTTGCAAGCAGTCACTATACTAACGAAAATTGCATATTAACTAGCAACTTTTGATTTAACAACTATTAAATTTAAATCTAAATTTCATTTAATCTTAATGTAATAACGCATTTTCTCCTACATCATTTCATTTGACATATAGTTACCTCCGTCCCGAAAAGAAAGCTGAGAACATTTCAGTTCAAACTAGCAACCAAATTTTACGCGTTAAAAAAAATTTAGGGTTAGCAACTACAGTAGAAGGGTACAGTAAAAATATTTTCTTAAAACAAGACTAAAAGAACAAAAATATATCAAACACAAAAAGTTACAACTTAAATATGAATATACGAGTTCAAAAGCTTTAATATTTTCAAAAAACTTAATATAACTTACAGCATCGATTAGGGGTTGAGTGTCTTGACATTCACCATCACAAATATCTTCGTCAGAGCTATATTCTTCTAAAATTCCATCACTGAAGTAAACCAAACGTTTAGGCAATTTTTTCTCCTTGATTTCGGATAAATTGATTTCAGTAAATGACATTTTATCACTTTGTGAATTAGGGTTATCCTAAAGTAAAAATATTTTTTTCAACACAGAAAAACAAGTCACGCAATTACTAGAAAAGGGGAATGACATGAAAGATGCAAGATAGTATATCTCGAACTACATGCAGGAAAGACATTAATAAGAAATTTAATCTTACATTAGTCATGGTTCAGAACTTTTCTGGATATATACTGCAAATGTTTTAAAAATTTTTTTCACATCTTTTTCTCAGAATTCCTCGTTTGTTGACACTTTTAACAGCACAACTTGTGCATCATATATTCCCAGTCTTTCAGCCTTAAGCGAATGGAGCGGTATTCTGTCTTCCTCACTTCCCTTCGTTCTCTTTGATAAAAACCAAGGTCCATAGAAGTCTTTTACGAACCTTGGATAAAAACGACGACATTGTCCCATTTTTAATGTAGCTAGTTGTCAACTGCTTGTAATTGTATTTCAATAGTATGATTGCCTAAAAATTATCGATTGGTTAATAGTGATAGCCATACAATTCAAGAATTAAAAAAATTGAGAAAGTTGAATGCGCGGAATAAAAGAACATTTCTTTATCTGAAAAACAAATGAAAATTTTTATGATATGAGTGAAAGAGGACCTAGACTTTTTACAGTAGCATAGATTTAATTATTTGCAAAAATCTGTGAAATGAAAAATTTGCCAAAAGACCATTTTCTGTTATGAAAAGAGTGCGGCCAAAAAAATTCTAGGCATTGAGAAATGAAAGGTATGCGAAACAATGATTCAACATAGTGTCATGGCATGTTAGAAGTTTTAAAATATGATGCAGGAAAATAAAAATGTTCAGGTGAGATAACTTAATATAATAACTTAAATATAGTTCACCTCTGAGTGTGCCTAAATGTTATATGGATTTTGTTATTTACGAATAATTATAAGCTCAACATTTATGACTAACCAGGGCTGGTTTAATCATTAAACAATATAAGTACGTGCTTAGAGCATTACGAAAAGAAGGAACGACAAAAAAAGCCTTTTGGTGTATAAAATTGGGCAACTTCCAGTTTGGCGTTTATTTTAACCAAGACTCAATCGATTTCGATGCAACAAGCAACAAGTGCAGGTCCCTTATCGTCGAGAGGAAAGCAATTCTGACCTGCATTTATACCAAAAGCAAAGGCGTAAATAATAGAATTAATCTTGTCAACACTTTTAAAGTGCTATTAATTTTTCCTTTTTCATTAATATTCCATATTCCAGGGGACAGATGGAGCAGCTACCTTACTCTTTTGGTTTAAATACAGCTGCCTTCTTTGCGCAATTTCTTGCCCCTCCTGAGTAAATTGATATGCCTAAAAGGCGAAAAAACCAATAATTTCTTGAGTAATATCATCTCCCACATAGGGGAAGTTAAAGAAGCAAAGACTGCCGCTGAGAAACTGAAGGCAGGTTTCCAAGCTGCAGTGATGCTTGTGTGATTCGCGGAAAGCGGTAAGTTTCCCTACAAAAGAAACACTTCTTTCCTAAGCAGCTGAATCGAATTCGTAGCTCGATGGTACGGAGCGCAGCAGAAAGCTAGCGGATTTAAGGTTGAGAGTTCAATCCCCTGTTTTGCTCACAAAAATTTTCGACTTTTGCACGGACTAACCAAAATTGACTGACTTCGGTCAGGGACTTGTTTTCGCCTTCGGGTGATAGATGTACACAAGTACATCTTAATTTTTTTAACAACCGCCAGTGGCCTAGTGCGAATAAAAGTTAATCGGTGAAAGCTCTTACGTAGCTTAGATCAAATAGCAAATTACGATCCAAGCAGAATTTCTTTTATCTTCATGAAGAAGAAACTGAGCCTCTCGTACTCCAAATCGATAGTCTTGGTTAAAATATACTCCAAACAGAAGACTGTTGCCTTGCCTAATTTTAACTTTACCTTGGCTTGTTCTGCTTCTTTTTGGGGTCCTTAGGTTTCCAGGAAAGAAGGTACTAAAAAAATTTACTATTGCCGTTTCTGCTATGGAATGCATGGTGCAGCTAGTTCAAAACCGAGAAGCAGAAGGAATGAAGAAAATGGAAATGAAGGAAATGGAAAAGCATTAAGTGTTTAGAGACTCTCAAGGTCTTAATACGGCCTCTTTTAATGCTTTTTGCTGAATTATGGTAGGCCGAATATGGTAGGCCGACATTTATGGAACATGCGCAGCCTTTGGTCGGCGAGTTCTTCCAAATCCTTCATGGCCGATCGATCAAGAAAAATGGACAATCCTGGAAATCATCTAATCTATAAGTGCAGCTTTTTCAATTACCTTCAACTTTGGTGATCTAGAGTTCCATCTAGGATTTCAAGATCGACCAATTTTTCATTAAGTTTTTAATAAGATGGCTGGTGATAATGAATCTGCTCACTTAATGCTACAAGCATAGTCGTTGAATCGAAATGGCAATTTATTTTCATTTTCTTATGTACATATGCATATTTTTAAAAGTAATCTTTTTTAATGCTTGTAATATTTCTTGTAACTTGAACTGGTTAGTCGCCCAGACGGTATAGTGGTTAGGGGAGTCCACTACTGTACTGAAGAGCCCGAGTTCGAATCTCGGAGGACACATGGATGTTTGTAAATGTATAGTGTCGGTACAGCATGGCGGCACTCCAGATATGCGGCAGGCCGAAAGTCCTCTCTTGCGAATTGGTGGGAGGGAAGAGATGTGGGAGACCTCTGGATCCCTAGGAGTGCTCTCTCTCAATGTTGGCGGTGGAAAATAGAAGTCCAACCTCTCTTCGGGGGTAGGCTCTGGGAACCATTGTTCCATGTAATATGGACAAGACTACAACCTGAACTGGTGTCGAGGCTATAATAATTTTTTTCAAAAATTCAAAATGGCAACAGCAAAAATAAAATACACAACACTTGCGCAGATGATGTAAAAGTTCTTTTCAAGAATGTTTCAGTTTTGTTAAATATGAAAGTAAGTAATTATTTTTGGAGTGCGAAAGCTGTATTAACACGGGATCTTCAAATCCTAGTATGCGGTACGGCTTTGGAGTGATTTTGAAAAATCTCGCCAAGACCAAATGACTTGTTGGGAAAAATATATTTCAGGGTACGCCTTGGCGAAATTGGCGAAGTTTTGGCGCCATTCCTGTTTACGTGCAACGACATCTTAAGTAAAATGGCATCCGAAACATTATGCAATTAAACATAATTAAAACTCAAAAAGAATTACAACTTCAACTAACTGCATTTTAAATCAAAATAAAACAAGGAAATAACATAAAAACAGAAATAAATGTTATCTTATCTGCGTAGTATAAAAAGAAAATATCTACTTACCTTATTTAGAAATTTCTGTGTCTTCTGTGTGAGACACACAAAATTTCCTTAAGAGCACCCAAAAACTGTTTAAAATTATCTGTACTAGAGTCTGCATACAGCCATTGCCCCATAAATTTACAAAAGTAAAAGTCAAAAATATCCTCTTTAGTGCCGGACTGTCGGTGCCATTTCTTTCAAAAATTCCCTTTTATTACACACCGCATACATTCGATAGTGTTGATATGAACTCCGGTTTCTGGATCCTTAAATGTTACTGCATGATTTACTGAGAGGTGAACAAAGCCATTATCAGAAGGGCAATCATACGACTTGCAGCAATCTGATATGACTGTAGTTCCAGGTAAGATATTCCGTTGAATTACATCAAATAAAGTTTCTTTCTTCTATCATCAATCACTTCAAAAAAAAAAAAAAAAGACACCTTCCGCGCCCTCGTTCTATACCACCAAACACCCAGTCTACCACCGGAAGCTATTTCACGGTATAAAGCACAAAATAAACAACATACTTCCTAACCGACATACAACGGAAAAATAAGTCCTGAGTTCTCAATCAAAATCAGCGCCATCACACATTACAACCAATCACGCCATGATAGGGTTTCCAAAACATACACAGTAAAGCACTCAGATTACCCAAAAATGAAACAACTTGGCGATAATCCAAGAGGTACCTCAAAGTATAGACTACACGACTCGTTTACCACTCATCATAAATACCGGGTTTACTGCTCCTCATAATGTAGCCAAATACCTGTATACCATATACTGGGATTAAGATATACTGGGCGTTCCACTTCCTGTGGACTGAACACACTAAGGGTCCTCAACCCGGACGAACTAAGCCCAAGGGTTCAACCCCTGTCCAAGAACCTTGAAGGGACCGGTCGCAAAGCACCTGGAGTGACACAGACACCAGGGCGCCACTGGTCGTCAATTTGTTACCTACCAGTCGTTTGGGCTGTCCGTCGCAGAGGGACATTACCCAGCAAATTCGGGACGCTACCAGCGGGCTACTTGAGCCATCTGCTCTAGGACGTGCCAGACCACGTTCCGGCCATAAGTGACCTTTCCAGGGCCTGCAGAGCTACTAGGTTCGTATATCCCCGTAGCCGAGACTGCCTAGGTACAGATCCCAGCCAGTAGCTTTGCAGAGTTCGCTACGTCGACACCCGGGAGGGGGATACTGGGATTAAACCGGATCTTCTCCTCCATTGCCGGCATTCTGCGTTATTGAATCTGCTTTGCTCTCTTTCTTGTCGGTTTTTAGGTTTTATTTATTTCAACGCCACTTTGCTTTAACAAGTTTGGATCCGTTACTTTTTCTCACTCCTTCCAGCATGCCTTCATGGTGTAACGGTTTGCACACTCGTCGCGCATTCGAGAGGTCAGGGTTCGAGTCCCTGCGAAGGCATAGCTCATTTTCATCTACTCCCGCTTTAAAATAACCTAATAATTCTACAACTTGTTTGATTACATTTCTTTTTAGGTGGATGCTAGCCGTCCACCACAAACTTTGTTTTATTACTGACGAACGAGACAAAAATTGTCTCGCGGGTTGACCAGGGGGTTATGTTCATTTTTAAAGCCTCTAGGAGTTGGAGTAATTAATCGCGTAAGGCTGCCTCGAGCAAAGCCAGGTCTGGACGCCCCTTCTTCCTAGTGCCATGTCATATTTTGCAAAAATATATGTCTCGCTCTTAATTTCTCTCTCATACGCACACAAAGAATACAATAGACGGTTTTTGAAAATGAAAACTGAATATCTATTAAAATTTTATTCTTTCAATTAAACCTGTTGTAAGCAATGCTCTGAATGTAATTAATTAAAAACCTATGAATAATTCCTTTTGTACGTTTTATTTCGGGAAAACAGATCATTCAAAATTCTGGATAAGCAAATGAAGAGAAGTTGCTTACCTTTATGATTCTCGTTCTTCGATTCTGGTCCGTCGCTTAAGGAGACTACATTTCAAACTCATCTAAAATTGACAGTATTTT